AAGAACGAAAGCAGAATTTCGGATTAAAAGAAAACCACGGCACGCTGAACGAACATTCTGCAAATCAAGCGGACACACTGGACTTCAAAACTCTCCGCCGCGGCCATTTGAGATCGGCTATACTTTCAGAAAATGCACACATGTGCCTCGAACCGCCCAACAGAACTGCAACCAATCGCTCTTACGCCACGTCTCCACGCTGACTTCTTCGTCACCGATCTTCTGAGCTACTCGAATTTCTGCTCCTGTGTCACCGAACACCACCATTCGACCCTGAATCTAAGAAGAATAATGAAGTATTGAAATAGTAGTTGGACTTATTCGTTGCTCTATGCTCAAACAACTGTACTGATAAATTTGATACAAATCTTGTTGACTAAAAGCTGCGCCTTACGCAAAATTCGCCTCGGTCGCAAGAGCGGGGACATTCAACAATTGTATCTTCCTCTTTGGCGCTTCTTGAACCCTTCGTCTTGAGAAGTAGCATTGCAGAAGCTGTTCCCTCTAAGCCGTCGTTCAGACTTCGCGACGGCAGCGCTTCGGTCGCGCGTTCGACGCGATCGATGCAGTCGAAAGCATGCGCATCGATCGCGTCGAACGCGCGACCGAAGCGCTGCCGTCGCGAAGTCTGAACGCTGCCTGAGATTTTAAAGAAGAAGGCGAGAACTAGGAAAGCACATTTGTTGGGTGTCCCTGTTCATTGAAACAGTACAGGGGCCTGTCCCTCCGAGAGATCGGGCGATCAGAACATATTATGCAACTAAAACATGATACCGTACGTCACTCAATAGTACAAATACAACTAACATTTCTCCTGTTGGATTCAAAGCAGTATTCACCGCACCGCCGTGAGTTAAAGGTGAAAGTCAGGTCGGAGTCAGTGGCGATCTGTAAATACCATAGTCAGTTGTTTTGCAACGCCTGGACCAGATTACTTTTTGTGCTCGGTCGCGAATAGAGTTAATTTAACTCCTATGACGGACAGATTCTCGGCGCTGTTCGGCTTGGGAGAGACATTTTGTACTTTCGCTTTTTCCTTTGGCAAGTGCATGTAAACTAACCGGTCTTATTTTAGTTAGGCCTGTAAACTCATATAAAGCTGCAAAGCAGTACAAGTAGCAGTACAATTCGGTTTATGAGATTTACAGGTTGTTACAAAGTGGTGTCAGCAGATTGATTAAGCTCGACACCAAGATTGTTAAGAAGTCTTTATTCGGCTGACGTTTCGGCGTCGTCGCCGTCTTCAGAGCCTGGAAAGTCAGAAGACATTTTCGATACTACTCATCCAACACTATTTCAACCTACAGAAAAAGTTCAAAAGGGGTCGTAAACTACTGTGACGTCACGAAGTCGATGACGTCACTAGTCGACCAATGAGGTCCACCTGTTACCCGGTTCTACTGGTAAAGTCGCGCTCTTTTAGGTAGGCCCCCAGGTCACTTTCCTGAGGGGACCTCCCGAGGGTCGATCGTGTAGATCAAACTCCTCCAAAGGTCACTCCAGGCCACCCGCACTGCAAAACCCGTCTGAAACTCATACTATACATTGACAGTTTTTTTTCTTGCCTCTTACTTCTTCGCCCTGTATCATTCCTATTGTCATTCCGTGGTCACTTCTAATTAGCTAACTGGTTATTAATGCATGCAATAGTTCAAATAAATAAATAAAGTAAACCCCATACTATTGCTACTGCCTACCAGACACTCGACCCGCCGCCACGGATTTTCGGGAATCAATCTGCTGAGCAGCTTACTGAGAAAACATGCAAGATTTGTCGAGTAGTCGCACTTGGACCACTGCTTACAAAGTGGCGTATATACGAGCTTCGAGTTGCCATTTTGGCTGCCCGCACAAGCCAAACTTGGCGTCTGATCCAGACTAACTGGGAGCTCCAAAGATTAAAAAGGACAAAGTTCCATAGAGACACCTGAAGAAGTGCAGCTATACTGGCGCCATCACTTAGTTGGAAGTCACTACCCGAGTTGGAGATAAGCCCACTGGCTGATGATGACGAACCGTCTTCCTCTTTCTGATGCTAAACCTGGTAACACTAACTGCTAATGCGTAAGGGTTTTAAAGAAATTCTGAAAACGTCGCTTACGAGGGCCTTCGGTTAAGTTTCGCAGGAACAGCATTCGGATAATGAGAGACCTGGCGTTTATTCCTGGAAACAGAACGTAGTCCTGCACATTGCACTGGACAAAAAATTATGAATGGTAGAGTTTCGTCAGTAGCGGGTACCGGATCATTTCGTTTACCTCTGCTGGTGATGCTGACATACTTGTGGCTTGCTGGATCAGTGACGTAAGAAAGTCGTCTTGAGACGAAACTGGAAATATTCCGTAATATTAAAATATTCATGTCTCTTTTACAATTATTTATCAGAATTAAAGCCTTGATCGAGCACAGAAGGACTTCAGCAGTACGGACAAACCAGTTTCGCGTGAAAATGTAGTAAAGTAGAACAGATCCAGGCACTAGTCACCCTTTACTGCCCCGAAAATACTGACTTTTCCTCAGGGAGTAGAAACTTGCTCAAACATGCATTCGACACTGAAACGTGAAGATCCTCGTTTGTTACGAAACCCTACCTGGCGCCGCATGCAGGGGCGCTGGGGCAATATTTACGAGCGGAGTACAGTATCGTGGTCGTGTGAAATTGCGTGGTGTAGGTACTCTACGTTGCTCATCGGGACAGAGTCGGTCAGTACGACCTCCCATACAATACCCTCTCCCCCACCTAAGTGAGGGTTCGCGGTACGACCCTACGCTTTTCCAACACCTACCTACCACTATCCCACATTTTTTGGACCTATGTGTTTCACACGAAAACTATGCTGCCACGCCTGATACCCGAAGCTATTTATTTCTGGCAACATGCGCGAGGGTGATGGGCGCCTGGTTGGTGCCAAGCGGGCGTGATATTCTTGGGAGTGGGGGGGGAGATGTTTAAGCAACACATAAAGACAAATTTCTCGACAAATCGAAGTTCTGACCTAAATTTCGGAGAGTGGGGCACTACAAGGTAAATAGGGTCAATCATTGCCATAACTGCTAGCTAGCCATTGCGGTAGCCAAAAACAAAACTGGCTTTTAACTTCATTGCCCCTCTGCCGCCCATATCTAGAGAAAAACTCGCTTTCCACGCTAATGCAGAACGTTACCAGTAGCCCAAGTGCACTGCCCCCTTTAGGCTGCGTTCATTGTGGCAGCGTTCACCAGCGTTGCAAGCGTCCGGCAACCTCAGCGACTACGAAAGTAGAGACATCGAACTAGCGTCCTTCAGCGTCTGCCGTGCACCACCGTCTACCAGCGTCCGGGAGAGGAGAGCTATGCCCGCGGTAGAGGGGCAGAGGCTGACTAGAACAGCATAGCGTAGGAGGGTAACACCTGCTACTTCTCAGTACCTTCGTAGCACTCCATCCTAGACTTGGCTGATCGCTGCTTTTATAACCTCTAGCCCTCCGTGAGACGCTGGCGCAGCGCTTGATAGACGCTAGAGGACGCTGGCAGACGCTAGATCGATATCTATACTTTCCTAGGCGCTGACGCTCCGGATCCTCGGAACGCTAGTGGCAACATATGATGCAGCCTTAGCCGACTCAAATACGGTCCTTCGAGGGCTCCTCAAGGATGATGTGCTCCGTGTGTAGCTATCTCCTCAGTATGGCCCACAAGGTTGTCCTGCTCATAGCGTGGTGTGCACATACTTGCCAGTTTTGCCACAGTATCCATTTATGAATAATGTTAGTGAAAACGTAAAGTAGTTACCATAACCAGGGCACTCACTTCCAAGTTTGACATCACCTGATCCGAAGGGATTGAATGATTGCATTTGATGCCGTTGGTTCGTCAATGCCTTTAGTAATGCATCTTCTGACTTCAAAAAATACTTCAGTGCTAAAACAAATCAGTTTCCAATCACAGTAATTAAACTAATTCACCTTTTTTGATCGCGGAGCGTAGTTTGCAGGCGCTTGTGAATTGATCTTTTCTTCACAGATTGCCCACAGACCACCTGGTCCTGCAAAGAACAGTTATTCCTAGGCCTCAAAGAAATCAATTAACTCTCTATGGGTTTTACCTGTGTCATGTTTTCTCTTCAAATGGAATTTCATAGTGGTCGGACTCCGGTCGTTTGTAACCCAATGACAAAATCGACACCGTACACCGGCAAGACCGTGGCCTCGTAAGTCCGTGAAGAATTCCCATACCTGAAAGAGCCTAGATTAAGTCTCGTGGAACGAAGGAGCAGTATCTCACAGGCACAACTGAAATTGATTTCAGGGTGCTCTACCGGTTTGTGCTCACTCAGGATGGAACATCTATAGCCTGATCCTCAAACGAGTTTCGCTCCTTCAAAGAATCTAAATCCTGAATCGGGAAGACCACAATTCTACGACCTAGGTCGGTTACCAGTTCTACTACCAAGGAAAGACCACAGTTCTACTACCTAGGTACTACTACCTAAATCAAGGTCGGAGATATCCTGATAAGGGCGCCATTTGTCTCACCCTTACTGGCATGCCAGCATAGAATTGCAATGTTGTACAGGTCACAAAGAGGATAGCGCGAACTGTTCAGTTTATTCAGAGATCTATCTCCTTATATATCCATCTCCTCAAAAGGTTAGCCCTCTTCACGATGTTTTTCATAGACTGCTTTACCTTGAGCTTCACTATGCTATCTGAAATGGGACTAGGGCGAATTGTTTCGAAAATAGGTTTTGATTTGCAGGCTCCGAAGAAGGCAATACTGCCGAAACGTCAGTCTGGTAAAGGACTTATAACAATCTCGGAATTGCTGAATAAAGTTCTGTGAATATTGCTGTCATCATGCCGAGA